GGCAGACCCATGAGTTCAGTATGACCCAATGTTTTGTTTAGGTAGAGCTAACAAACATAGGCTGTAATTTAATTGGCACACCTATGAGTGTAGTGTAACCCAATGTTTTGTTTAGGTACAGCTTACAAACATAGACTGTACATCTGATGGCAACACGTTTGTGGTAAAACGTTGTAATAAAGTGTTACAGTGTGTCACCTCGACTATGTTCTTTATCGCTAGATACATTGTTTCAATGTGTAATTTAAAGCCAGAGAAAGAAGTATTAAAAAAATTGTCTAAACTAATTTAGGTGGCACACTCATGAGTGCAGTGTAATCCAATAGTTTCTTAAGGAAGAGCTAACAAACATAGGCTGTAGTTTAGGTGATAAACCCATGAGCACAGTGTAAGCCAGTAATTTAGGTGGCACACCCAGGTGTGCAGTGTCACTCAGTGTTTTCTTTAGGTAGAGCTAACAAACATAGGTTATAATTTAGGGGGCACACCCACATGAGTACAGTGTAGAGCTAACAAGCGTACATGTAGGCTGTATTATAAGTGGCACACCCATGAGTGCAGTGTAACTTAATGTTTTGAATACGTAGAGCTAACAAACATAGGTTGTAATTCAGGTGGCACACCAATGAGTGCAGTGTAACCCAATGTTTTGTTAAGGTACAGCTTTGCTATAGACTGTACATAAGATGGCAACACGTCTGTGATAAAACTTTGTGATAAAGTGCTACAATGTGTCACCTGGACTATTTTCTTTATCACTAGATGTATTGTTTCAATGTGCAATTTATAGCCAGAGAAAGTAGTATTGTCTAAAACTAATTTACGTGGCACTCCCATGATTGCATTTTAACTAAATATATTCTTTAGGTAGAGCTAACAAACAAACAGGATGTACTTTAGGTGGCACACCCATGAGTGCAGTGTAACCTAATATTTTCTTTAGGTAGAACTAACAAACATAGGCTGCAGGTGACTCACCCATGAGTGCAGTGTAAGCCAGTAATTTATGTGGCACACCCAGGAGTGCAGTGTTACTCAGTGTTTTCTTTAGGTAGAGGTAACAAACGTAGGTTATAATTTAGGTCGCACACCCATGAGTGCAGTGTAACCCAATGTTCTGTTTAGGTAGAGCTAACAAACATAGGCTGTAACGAAGTAGGTTGCACACCCATGAGTGCAGTATTACCAAATGCTTTGTTTAGGTACAGCATAGACTGTACATCAGATGGCAACATGTTTTTGATAAAACGTTGTGATAAAGAGCTGTAATATGTCAGCTCAACTATTTTATTTATCGCTAGATACATCGTTTCAATGTGCAATTTATAGCCAGAGGAAGTAGTATTGCCTAAAACTCATTTAGGTAGCACACCCATGATTGTAATATATATATATTCTTTAGGTTTAAGAGCTAACAAAAACACAGGTTGTACTTTAGGTGGCACATCCATGAGTACAGTGGGACCCCCCTTTTTTTTTAAGTAGAGCTAACAAACATAGAAGTACTTTAAGCAGTACACCCATGAGTGCAGTGTAATTCAATATTGTGAAGTTTTACAGTCGTTATCCTAAAAGTAGTAACCAGCTGCTAATACAGCTGCCTCTCTGATCACTCCCTTCCAAAAGGGAACTCTTGTGAGATAGACTGCCAAAGAGAATGATGAGAGGCAGGTGTATTCAAAGGCTATGAAAGTAGCAACATAAAAAAGCTGCTGCAATTGAAAGTCATGAGGGATCTTTGCTTTCGTGACTTAACGGTATCTCTAAAAGTTTTTTTTTACCGAAGAGCAATTTCAAAGGTAAGGGCAAAAAACAAAGGGCAAAAACCCGTTAAAGCAGAAATCCGACCATAAAGGGACCAAGCCTTGATAACAGGCCCCCTGCATTACAGCGATCATGTGATCAACTTTCACTGTTAAACACGAAAACGGTTCACTTTTGAAAAATTTTGCTAGCGCAAGCTGGAGGAGGCTTAAAATTAGGTAACCTGAGAATTTTCAGCCATACATGTATTTCTCAAAAGTAGTGATTGCAATGGCCGCCGAAAGTTGCAGGCATTTGTATGACAAAAACAACTCTTGCCACCCAGTCACACATGCATGGTTTTCCATACAAATCCTAGTAAATTTGAAATTTTCAAAACTCTTATGAAATATTTTCTTAAAGCATTACATTACATTATGGACTAGCAACGCTCAGGGGGAGCAGAAATACTCCTAGGTGCTTCATGCCAATGAAACGGGAATAAGCTCTGGTCGTTTGGGTCTTTGGCTCGTGTGCGCCTTTACCTTCTACCTTTACCTTCCAGCTCGTGCTACTAAAATTGTTCCAAAGCGCATTGTTTTCATGTTTACCGAAAGTTGATCACGTGATCAACTCATGCAAAGGGCTTATTAACAGTTCAATTTATCCTACAGATGTTAACCTGCGATCAGGGTTTTTTTTTTTTTTTTTTTCGGGGNTGTTAACCTGCGATCAGGGTTTTTTTTTTTTTTTTCTTTCGGGGAAAGCGGAAAAAAAGAACGCCTGATACATTTACTTAATAGGTCGTCTGCTGCCCCCTAATTAAGGTGTCTGTCAATATTTGTGTTTTCGTGTCAGGCTTTAGCTAAAATTCAGGCGGTTTGCAACCAAGGCGGCTATTATCGAAATGTATTTATCTACTTTACGGGCAAGCGATGTTAAGTTGATACATTTCTTTGAAGACCTACTAGCTTTAAAACCTAAGCTTGCTGTTAATAGAATTCCTTGATCATCTCGTGGTTTCTGTCATGAAGACGAACGTGACAAAATCTATCTAATTTAGCTCCAGAAGTCAGATATGTTGCTTGACCAATCGGTGCAGGGCTTCAAAGGATCCTCTGTTTTTCGACCAGTCAGAGAAAAGTCCACATTCTGGACTACGGGCTGAGGAGGTGTAAATTAATTGTATCAGGTGTCCTTTTCCCTTCGTCTCCCAAACGAGAAGGGAAAAGGACTGCCTGATCGCAAGTTATAGAGATGGCTGCAGTCTTTGTCTGCTAAATTTGCTTTTAGCCTATAGGTTACTATCGCTCAATGAAGTGAATAAAACTAGGGTGACCCACTACTGTGATCTGTGTTCTCTCTGTTCTTTAGGTCAATACTGGGATCAATTCTATTGAGTTTACTCTTCAATGTGCCCATTTTACAGTTGCAGGTGGAAACGAGGCTGGAGTTGACCTTGTTTTGATACAGCCCTGCCTGCTTTATTATGTAAATCATGTTGCTCTTATGCTAACTGGTATTTTTATAAGCAAAATTTACATTAGAAAAGGAAATAGGATTGTATCAAAACATGGTCAACCTCAGCCTCACCTACACTCAGAGGCTAGGACACTAAGCCCATAAGTGTGAAATGGCCTACAGTGTATTTGAATTTCCCGCGACAAGCATAAACAACACTGCCAAGTATTATAAAACTACTCGCTAAATGTTTCAGAAACTAAAATGACAACTCTTTACAGCCCAACCAAAATTTAACATTTTGGAAAATATATTAATCTTACCTGTGAGAAGCCTCGTATAGTTTAAGTTTCAGGGGTCATCTCTTGTCGAGGACGGAGGACAGCGGAAAGACGAGGGTCATTTCGGCAGGATTCAACAATACTTTCCCAACTACCTCAGCGACAAAGTCCGCCCTTAAAAAACACAGAAGAAGTAAATAAGTATTACGAAGACAGAAGCGACAAAATATAACATTATTCTTACATATTTCTTCATAAAATGGTAAAAAATGTAGCATTTTCTCATCAATGCAACATCATGGCACTGTCATGGCGTTCACGCGGCTTCCGTTCTCGTTTCCAGAGCTTCCGAGGAAAACTTTTGCGGCCAGCAATGCGTGCAAGATTGGCGTCCCTCGATCTTTTAATATCCTTCTAACAAAATTAGGTTAAATACGATAAAGAGGTTTTAAAAGTACTCTCTGTTACCTTTTTTCTTACTCCCGCCATCTTTTTTATTGTATTTGTTAAACAATTACCACATGCACTCTTATGACACCAGAAAAGCTACCGATCTCGCGGAAGTACTTTTCGACGGAATTTAGTCCACAAGGGAATTCTGGTGCCGTTTTCTTTTGTGCGTGAACATTATTGAAAATATGACCAATCGACACCCATTAAAGCTTTCGAAAATTAGCAAAAGATCTTGCATGCCGAGGACTATCCAAAATCATATGTGGCACAGCGTTTTAAGAGTTAGGAGGTGAGGGTAAATAGGTTTTCGAATTGCGGATTTTTGCAATAAATTTATCGGATTTGCGAATTTGAAAAAAAAAAAAACTGCCAATCGCAAATCAGCTGAAAATTTTAGCCCGATTTTCAGACTGTATCTATCCAGAAGTTCGTTCAGTAGTTGAATCGTCAATTTTTTTGTCGGCTATTGTCAGCCTGTTGGTGTTTTGTTGACCAGTTTTTTCTGTTTCCTTTATTTCTAGGAGTGACTATAACCAATTTCTGTTAGAGTTTTTATTTGATTTGAGAGACCATTTCTTTAAAAAAAATTTCCTTAATAACATCAATACGGTGGCCCAAAAGGCTCAAACACAAATCAATTTCCCAAAACACAAATCAATTTGTGATTTGTGTTTGAGCCTTTTAGGCCACCGTAGGAAAGGGAGAGCTGAGTGTGCTACATCTGGAATTGCCACATCTGATTTAACCTTAATTTCTTCTAAGCCTGTTCCTACTTTGGACACCTTTATGAACAATAAAAAAGAAGAGAGAAAGGCGCACTTCAAAAAAAAGAGCAAGAAGACTAAGAGGATGACTGAGAAAGAAGACCCACCTGTAACCGTCAACATTGGCATCATGCGATATATTGAAGACGAAAATATGCTCAAGCCCCAACGAGGCAAATCTCTTCCTGTAAGAATTGGTAGAACAGCGGATGGGGAGGAGCTATCAAAGTTAGCAGTAGCAAAGCACTCGAAGCATAATGCTAATGAAATTACTCATAGCTCTCCTTTGGCCTAAAAATTGCTGTACCCAGACGGGATAGAAGTAAATAACCTTAGAGAATCCGACCAAGCATTCAGCTTACAAGAATATAAAGCTGAACTGGGTAAACCGTACAACAGGATAACATTTTATCTTTGTTCTTCATCAGATTACTATGATCATAGTTTCAAAGGTTTTGCTGACACAATTTCTGATGATGGAGACGACAAGAATGATAGTGACAAGGATTCTGAAGACCTAAGTGAACCAACACAAACAAAAATAACCAAGTACACTGACACTGGCTTTGCTAAGACAACCACCACTGTTAAAGCATCAGATGCAAACTCTGTTTCTGTTAAACCTGGTTCTTATATTGCAACTAGCCTATCTGATCCTTTCACAACAAGTGATATACCCACCTCTCTTCTTGGTAGTTCATCTTCTGGTTCATGTACTACTACAGCATGTAACAGTTCTGGATTTGAAACACTCAAAGAAATCTTTCCACAGCTCCCTGAAAAGAAGATATTTGATGTTTTCAGCAGCAGCCAAGACATTGAAACAGCTATTGCCACACTCTGCGAGAATGCAAATGGAGGATTGCATGACTCGCTTCGACCATATGCTTCTGTCATTGACGTGGAGTTTAGTAATGACCTCTATGATTCTGAAAATGACATTATCTTTGGTGGGAGGGAGTCGGAATTTTCTAAAACTGGTGAAAGTGGAGAGCATGAAATTGAGGACCAGCAGAGTTTATGTGAGAAATTGAAAGAGCTATTCCAGAAATGTAGCAACTCAGGAAAAAAGATAAGGCTAAAAGTAAGAAGAAGTTGCCTGTGGGAGGATACTCTGGCAAAAATCAAAAGGATAAACCATGATTGCTTGAATGGTATTGTAACAGTCCAATTTATTGGAGAACCTGCAGTAGACGAGGGAGGACCTCGCAAAGAGTTTTTTTTCCTGGTTCACAAACACATGCAACAGTCATCAAGTCTGTTGACAGGACCTCCTAGTAACCGTAGGTTTGTTCACAATGTAATGGCTCTTCAGAGGGAGGAATATCTTCATTATGGCATTATTTCAGCTCTTTCAGTGCTTCAAGGTTCACCTGGTCCTGTAATGTTTGCTGCTCCTGTTGTAGACTACATCGTGTATGGCAAACTAGATTCAGTCTCAGTGTCAGTAAGTGACCTGCCCAGTGGAAAAGTGAAGACAACATTAGAGGAGCTTGAAGCAATCGGTGATCGTGAGAGATTTAAGCAAGAAGCATCCTTTAACACACCACTAAGATTCAAAGCAGGATACACAAAGCCTATTGTAACTTTGGAAGACAAAGATGAATTTATCAGGTGCATCTGCTTACACCATCTCATTTTATGTACACAGACTGAAATTGACCAGTTTGTCAAAGGGTTGGCAACAAATGGAGTCTTGGATGTGATCAGAAACAGTCCTAACCAATCCCGCAAGCTCTTACAATATTATGAACATGAGAAGCTGACTGCTGAGGTTGTTGATAATCAGGTTCAGTGTGTCTTTAGCGTGGAAGGAAGTAACAAACGTGCTAAGGAGGAAGCTATAGCCTTAAACTTTACACATTACCTTGAGGATGTTGAAGAAGGTTTGATTACCACCACAGTCCTAGATCCTGAGACAGATGAAATTCACACCAGTAAAGTCGAACTTGCACATGTTCTTCAGTTTGTTACTGGATGCCCTGCCTTACCTGCCACTGGATTTGACACAAATCTAACTATTGTTTTTGACCATGAAGAGATCCAGAGGAAACTTTCAGCAAACACCTGTTCCTGTACCCTTAACATTCCAGTTTGTGATTTAATTGCCAGTTATGAGTCTTTTAAAAGTGAGTTTACAGAGTGCATCTTCAGTTCACCTGGTTTTGGTAAAGTGTGAATCAAGTAGCAGTTGACTTTTGTATTTGTAGGTCTGGATGAACACGATTATATAATGTTAAATTTTAACAAACATCATTAATAAGCTTCATGACTTTAACAGCATGCATACATGTACCCAAGCATAGTATTTCTGTCTGTTTTGCAAAAGTCCATGCTGCCTATTTTGCAGATTTTGCAGAAGAGTTAAAGGGACTGGTTCACGATAATGCGCATGTGTGAGTTCTGGCAGTAGCTGATTGTTTTCCAACCAATCGGAAGCGAGTTAAATGCACGCAAGTAAATTTACAAAATTCAAATTAATTGTTCGCGACGCGAGAGTATTTCCGGGCATTTGGTTTGATTTTATTTATCCCCATAATTCAAGTTTATTCTTTGCTACTCCTCAGATATATGTTGCAGCCGATAAGAATAAAATTTACAGCCCTGTCCTGCTTTGAAACAAACATTTACCAACGTGTATTTTTACCGAGGTCGTATCCACGCTAACAAAGCGGTCACCGATCGGCAAACAAAATTTGTAAACAAACATCTTATTACTGTTCTCTCAGTTCGCCTTATATAAACCCAGAAATACCTACAAATAGCGCTTGACCGGTGACAAAAGCACACAACGTATGAGTATAAAGATTATCCTTAACTGAGCATAAATTTCAATTGCTTATCAGCAAATGAACAAATTCATTCGCGTTGCATCGGGTCAGTGTTCCGCAAAACAAATGTTATCGAGTAGCACACATAAAGAAACTAGATTATAAACAGAATATTCAGGCAATAATTTATTTTAAAAACATCAATTCTTAAACATATACGATGGTAAAGCAAAGATACAAGGAACATTTCAAGTGTACCAGTTCGGTGAAGATCGCGCGGCCTGTTGCGGTATAACTACAGGTCGGAGTCAAAAATCAAATCAAAGTTGAACGAAATCATGCCTTTAACCACTTTCCAAGTGTCCTGTATTCTTTTCGTAAGCCACACACTACTCCTAGAACCATACCAGATCGATAGGCTAAGCTTCTCTATCTCCAAAGACTCTTGAGAACGTCCTGTTGCCGGACGGCCACGATGCTCTTTTGAACCTCATGATCAAAACATTATTTTTTGCGTCTTCTTAAAACGTAACCAGTCAAACGACACAACCACACGTTAATCACCACTACCGAAGTATAACTAGACCAGCCAAAGCGACGGATGTCCGAATAAAACGAAGGATTTTCAAAGATTGTACCGGTAATGGCGATTTCGAATTTAGTGTTGACCCAACAAAGTTATTCTGAAGAGGAAAACGGCGCGCATGCGCATTATCGTGAACCAGTCCCTTTAAGTTTCACTTTCAATGGAACTATGAATGAGAAGGGTTTTTGGAGCAAATCATTTTTATAGATGTAAGAGATGGTCAAATGTATCATTAAGATGCCAGTGTTTGTTAGATAACCCTTGGCTTCTGAGTTGTATTCCTGTTTGCAAATGCTGTTCTACTTGTTATGCTTTGTTAGGTTAGTATTCTTGTGCATTTGAGACTGGGACTGAAGAGCACAGTTGGCAATGTCTCATAAAAATATGACTTTGGAATTGTACAGTGTATATCCATTTGGCAAGAGTTATTTGGACATGTGTCAATCAAATTGAATTTTATTTGGTGTCTTAGCAGACAATATGCACAAATGACATTCTACAAACTGGTCATAGAAATCTTTAAACAGTACAAATGTATGTAAAATTTGCCTAGTATCTGCTAAAATGGCAAATGAAACCCACTGTATCTATCCTACTGCACCATAGTGGTTTGGTCTCTTGTCTATGGTGTTGTGAAGTGACACAGTAAATAAATACAATGTATGTCTGAGTCAGACTTCTTGTGTAGGTGAAGTTATACATATACTAGTTCTTACTGTTGTGTCAGTGTCTTTGAAAAAGTCAATTTTAAGATGGCATTGTGAACCTGCAAAAAGCTCATGCCAGGAGAGAACAGTTGTGGTTTAGTTCATTAATTTTGGAGTACCAGTACACATCAGACATGCACTATTTTCACTTGTCAACTGACTATATTGTTAAATAATGTTCTGGTTATTTGATGTTATAGATAACAATGTTCCAATATTATTTTGTATTGGATGGTTTTTGCATTCCATGGTTGTGACAACATTTTTATCAGGTTAATCAAGAAACATTTTATTGTGATAATTGGAGAAGCATATTTTCCTTTTGCATTCATGATGAGTGGAATAATGTACATGTATTTTGTTTAGGACTCTGACCATTACAGAGTCATTTTTTATCTTTGCTGTAGTTGCTCCAATTGTTGGTTATTGCTTGACAATTCTCTTTGAAAAATGTTTTGAATGCATGTTGTTGTTATTGATGACAATTATAATACCAGATGTCATTACCAATAAAGTGTTGACATTACGTGTTTATCAGGGCTGAAGTGTATTGAATAATGTAGAAGTCCAGGAGTTAGTTTGGTTGTTTTTTATTTCCTCCTTGAAAATTTTAAGAATCATTCTCTTCATTTGACATTTTCGAGTAAAACTGGTTTTATTAAAGAGAAAACTCTATTCATCAAAATGCTGTAAGCAATCTGCAGCATACAGAATTCATGGAGACGAATGAATTACAAATTTATAATGACGGTTTATAGTGATACTGAGAACTTAATAAGCTACTTGTCCTTCACTTTTTCATTAACTGTTATAAGATCACTGGTCTCTGTCAACTGTGGACCAGAATCGAATAGCTCCTACACTGCAACTCTTATTAAATAAGAAAACAGGTTCAAAGCTTCCTTCCAGTTAGAGGGCTTGGAAACATTAAGAAGGGACAAAACATGATTAAAGTACTCCTGAAAATCGTCGTTAAAATCTGTTGCTTTACATTTCAGCCTTGCTTCATCTAGCTTTTCAGGGGACACTGGGTGTAAGTGGTTTGAAGCTCCAAAGTTTTCTGGAAGATAATAGAGTTCCTCTGGTTTCCCAGGAACTGTTTCATGCCTTGAACGCCGAATGTAGTGTGTATTCCAGTGAAACTTCACAAAGTCTAGATCATGCTGGATTAATTCTGCAAAGCAAAACCATATGCACTCCCCATGGAGCACATCACCAGTCAGAAATATCCCACGATCCACAAGGTCTTTAAAAAAGTTGATCCACCATGTTAGACGACTACGGCGAAGATGGGCCCACCAGGCCTCTATTCTTTGATTTCCAGTAGAAGGACCATAACGGTGTGATTTTTCACCAGCTAACTCGTCATCACAGTCAGCTCTTAAAAAACACTGTGTACCTGCAATTACTACATTCTCTGTTCCGCAGTCTGTTCGGAGTAATGAAGGACATCCACCGACCTCCACAACGCAATCTAAAAAAAACTTTGCAGTTATTTCTGGATCATTATTGGTTCTATCTACCTTAAGCCATATTACCATGCGACTATAGCCATCAACAGCCCCATGGATGGGAAATCCGAAAGGTTTCAGTTTATCATAACCATCAACATGCCAACAATAATTTGGTCCAGGAGACTCATACTTCCTTCTTTTTAGCCTGTGGCGCTTCCTCTCTTCCACTCCAGCTGGGTCTATCGTTCTGATCAGGGATTCTACCTCTTGCCTAGGGACAAACAGCCCATACTTTATACGAAGCATATGCCAAACTGCTCTGTAACCACAAATGCCTCCTGGGCCATCCATCTCGTCTCGGATTAATTTCTCAACGGCAGGCAAATTTATATCCACTTTATTCCTTTTAAGGTTGTATTCACATAACCTTCTTTTCAATGTTGACATAGACATTGGCATGTCATGGTACTTGTCAAGGAAGAGTAGAATAACCCTGTAACTGAACCCACTATAAAAGTAAGCCTCTATTGCTTCTTTCTCGGTCACGTTTTCAGCTGATAATAATAGCCTAACA